TGTGCCAAGTATTCCAGAGCGAAGTGGCTGTAGGTGTGGATGATTTGGGACATGTTGATTCCTGGAGGAACTCATGAGTTTGGAATACGGGGCTTGGAGTCGCTCAGCATACATGTACTCTGATATAAGTGTTGGTAGTCTTCATGGGAGAGTCGAGTTAGTTAGTCAACACAAAATCCCACATGATCTTGGCACGGGCCTCGCACCGTTTTCCCGCCACGTCACGTTGCATCCATGGATTGATTGCATCTAACTAACTCTTACCAGCCTCCTCCACCATGATCTAGTAAAGAACTCGCATTTCCCCGGCCACCGCCAAGTCGACATCACATATCGGATGGGTTGACTGTCGACCCGGCTTACATCAGACGAGTCGTGACAAGTCCGGCATCTAACCATGCTAGCGAACGCCTCCCAGGAGGTGAATCGGTCTCGTGGCGGTGGTACCTTGCAGTCAGCAGCATCATCGCACAGCAGCAGGAACAAGTGCCTCGTGTTCAAGGGTCCCATCTATTATCCTTATTACCCCATTACCCCATTCGATCCATGTGCTGGCGCGATTGGAGCAAAGTGGAGCGCTATTTCGACCGTGTTATATGCACTCCTCTTTCTGCACTTTAAGCGACGACCCGCCGAGCCCGTCGACGATCCGCAGGCACATTGAAAATGTTATCCGGTCAGAGACACCAGCCATAAGTATTCCTGCCCCATCACCACCCCGTCGAGCTGTCCTGCAAGTGAGAAAGCCTCATCCGAGTCATTCCCTCCCGAAAACTCTCATATCATCGATACAAGAGAGCATTCCACGGCAATCATGCTTCTCCCACTTGCATGCCTCATCGGCGGGGCTTTGGCGCAGTTTGGCAACAATGGAGCTCCGGCACGCTGCTGGAAAGTCCTTAGTACTCCCAACATCTGCTGACTATCTCAGTTTCCTGATGTCACCTACCCGGATGGCATCTCCCCCAACCCCGATGCCGTGGCTGGTGCCCAGTCTGACCAGAACTCGCCTCCAAAGTACCCCAGTCCATGGGGCAGTGGTGACGGCGACTGGGCGGAGGCGTACAAGAAAGCCATTGAAGTCGTCAAGCAATTGACTTTGGAGGAGAAGGTCAACCTGACTACAGGTGTGAAATTATCATTTTCGTTGCAAATTAGTTATACGTTCACTTACGCAAACAGGTTCTGGATGGCAACAGGAACAATGTGTCGGACAAACTGGTGGTGTCCCTCGTCTCGGTATCAGAGGCCAGTGTCTTCAAGACTCTCCGGTCGGTGTGAGATACACCGAGTGAGTAGACTCAATTACAAGATGTCAACAACGGGACTCGAAACTAACTATGAATCTTGCCAGCCTCATCTCCATCTTCCCTGCTGGCCTTAACGTCGGAGCAACTTGGAGCAAGCGCCTGGCCTATGAGCGCGGCAAAGCCATGGGTTTCGAGAGTCGCGACAAAGGCGTCACCGTGCAACTTGGACCCGTCGCAGGTGGTCTGGGAAGGGTGAGTTGGCTAATTGGGTCCAAGATATGCCCCGGTGCTAACATTTGCATGGCTAGTCTCCTCAAGGAGGTCGTAACTGGGAGGGCTTCAGTCCCGATCCGTACCTCACTGGTAAATTGTTCGCAGACTCCATCCGAGGCATTCAAAGCACTGGCGTACAAGCATGCGCCAAGCACTATGTTGGCAACGAGCAGGAGCATTTCAGACAAACGCCCGAAGCCCAGGACTACGGTTTCAACATCACAGAACCTGGGTCTTCAAACATCGATGATCAAACACTCCATGAGGTCTATGCCTGGTGAGTCTATCGTAGCTCCACTAAAAGAGACGTCGCCAGTACTGACACCATCCAGGCCATTCGCCGATGCTGTAAGAGCCAACGTTGCCTCAGTCATGTGTTCTTACAACCTGCTCAACAACTCGCAAGCATGCCAGAACAGCTACCTTTTGAACCACGTCCTCAAGGAGGAGCTCGGCTTCCAGGGATACGTCGTGTCAGATTGGCAGGCAACCGCCTCTGGCGTCTCCGCTGTCCTCGCTGGGCTAGACATGACAATGGCAGGTGACAGACGATTCGGAGACGGCGAAAGTTACTTCGGGCCCAACCTCACCATTGCGGTACTCAATGGCACGGTGCCGCAATGGCGGTTGGATGACATGGTTGTCCGTGTTCTTGCAGGCTGGTACCTTGTCGACGGCAATGATGAGATCGACTTGCCCAACTTCCAGTCATGGACTCCTTATACTAACGGAGCCGTTCATGCCCACGTCGGACCGACTTGGGGTACTGGCGTTGTCAACCAACATGTCGACGTTCGCCGAAAGCATGGAGCACTCATCCGAGAGATCGGCGCTGCATCTACTGTCCTGCTCAAGAACACGAAAGGAGCTTTGCCCTTGACGAACACGGAGAAGCTGACTGCAGTCATTGGCGAGGATGCCGGCTCCAACCCGACCGGGCCCAACGGTTGCAGAAACCACGGCTGCGACATTGGAACCCTCGGCGTTGGCTGGGGTAGTGGTCAAGGAAACTTCCCTTATTTGATCAGTCCTGATGCAGCTATCCAGCACGAGGTGACATCTCGCTACGGTTCCTACGAGGCGATTACCAACAACAGCGCATTCACTCAGATCGAACTCCTCTCCAAACGTGTGACCGAAGCGGCCGGTGTTTGTTTGGTGTTCGCGAACGCCGCTTCAGGAGAGGGTTTTATCAACATTGAGAACAACTTTGGCGACCGCAAGAACTTGACCTTATGGCAAGGTGCAGACGCCATGATCGCAAACGTCTCGGCAAACTGCAACAACACGGTGCTTGTGCTCCACACAGTCGGTGCTGTAGAGATCGATCAGTACAAAGACAACGAGAACATCACTGCCATCCTCTGGGCCGGTCTCCCAGGTAAGTTGAATTGCCTCTTACACCCTTTACATCACCGCTAACAACATCCAGGCGAGCAGTCAGGCAATGCCATCGCAGACGTGCTT